GTGTGTGTGTGTGTGTGTGTGTGTGTGTGTAGATAGATAGATGCATTTATTGACTGCTAGTTCTGGAGAAACAGTGCTCTGTCTCTCTGTATTCACTTATTATGCACTTCCTGGAACTAGCTAAAGCCTACATGAACCACGTGATGACCTTGTATTCTGGACCCCTGCTGATGTGACTCTTACCACTGCAGGGCTCTGTCTTTATCTCTCTTAACACTTTGAACACCCTCCTTATACTTTGGTTAGCTCAGAAACAAATAACACAGATAACAGGGCTATATAGAAATGATCAGCATATAAACGGGTCAGGAAACCATACCAATTGATGAATCTAGCATTATTTTATTCTTTTTCCTTTTTAACACAGTTTTTTTTGGGAGGGACAACTCACAATTAAACAAACAAAAACAAATTGTTAGATGTGCATTCATCTAATTCCAGACTATATATTCCTTGAATACAATTACCTCTTCAATTACAAAGTTATTCTACACCTTAAAACGATGTTTTAAAGATCTGAATGTGTCTTTTATACACAGTGATTTTTTTTGTCTCTGTATAAAAATACAAAAATGGGAAAATGATGAAACTAGGTAAATATGACAGGTTGGTGTGTCAATGAAACTGCAAAAAAACAAACAAACAACAACAACAACAAAAAACAAAAAAACAAGCACTACATCTCAGACTCCACAGTTAGCACGTTAAATGTTATGTTATGTTAGTTCATGACAATACAGTTACTCAAATGTCAAAAGGATAAGACTGGTGATATTCTGCATTTTTATATCCACACACAAATTGATTTAAAAGACCAAAGTCAACATGATTGAGTCTAGCTTTGTCTGTGTAGCTAAAAATTGTCACATCATGCACCACTTTATAGCGATGCTACCAGTTCTGAGGCTATACACATGAGCTAAATGTTCATCAGCAAACAATGAGCAGGCAGAAAATCATGATGGCATACTGACACAATGACACAACACAAAATTTAGTTGAAGCCTTTGGGTTTTTCAAGTTTTTAATCATGAATCAGGGAACTATAAAAATTTAAATTCACCAACTCAGCAGGACTCATAAATAAAATAAGCATTTTTATAGCAAAATTTCAAACAGCGAAAATCAACATGTCTGGGTGAAAGTATTTGACTGGCACTGTCACAGTTCCCTGTCTTGTTCCCTGATTTACAGCAGAAAAATAGTCAAATAAAAATGTCCCTTCATTTAAATAATGAAGGTAAAAACAATTAAAGTACCAAGCTGCTTTAAGAAATGATGATGTCCTTTATAAGGTTAATAGAATTGCACTGATGTTTGCTGCATTTATGTCTTCAGCAAGGCCAAACGGATTTGATGTTAAAATCATAAACTTGCTAAATTATGAAGTATTAGTACTCCGAGATCTAAGTCATCATAGTTAATAACCCTAACCCCACTCTAATAGTATGCTGTGGAAAAAGTAAAGGAGGATCTTTCAGGAGAAAAAAATAAAAAAAGACCCAAAACAAATATTACATATTCTGTGAAAAAAACACACGTACACACATTCTGATTGGCTAGCCTTAGTGTTAGGGTTAGGTTTGGGGCCGCGATATGGTGACTCTGAGAAACTAAAGTGGTTGGTTTTGATCCTTTCATAGGATTTGCTGACATTAATATAATTATAGATTTCCACTCGTATTTCAAGGTCACTTCAGTTAACGATGTAACGTTTTAGTGCATTTGTCTACGCAGTCATTTCCTATGTTACACTACAATATGTCCATTAGTATGTTTCTTTGCATCACACACAGTCACACACATACAGTTGTGGTAGGAACTTTAAATACATCGTGGAGATTTTTGGATTTTTAATGATTTCTTGGAACTGCTTTTTCCATGGTGGAATGACAGCATACATCTTTAATGACAGTAAAAAAATATCAATAGGGTGCACATGTTTGAATTTATTTTGGAATTTCTCTCATCCACAAAGCGTCAAAATGACATATTTGATTAAATGTCCCTTATCAAGTTGCAGTCCGACCAGATACTTTTGGCATCCATCAGTCTTGGCAGAGTTTGGTTTAAATTGGCTGGTCTCCTGGCAAAAACCTGGCTTTTAAGCATAATCCATAAATTTGTGTTCTTAGGTTTGAAAGCCTCACCTTTAACCATCCAAACATACCTCTTGTCATTGTGATCAAACAGCTCAATCTTTGTGTCACCTGACCATAAAATTTGGCATTTGGCTTGTCCACGTGGGCAGCTGAAAATTGTACATCAGTTGTTTAAGGTGTTGATTTTGGAGCAAGGACTTCTGTCTTGGTCAGCGCCGTCTCAGTCCATGGCAATGTAAAACATGCTTCAATTGTTCAGTTCCTACTGCTGGTTTTCCAGCAGTTTCCAGTTCATGGCAGGCTTGAGCCTTTGTGGTTTCTCAACATGTTCCTGAACAATTCCCTGTCATCTAAGGGGTGAGAGTTGGGGTCTTCTTCGAGAAGTTGGCAAAGTGGTGACAAATAACTTGTACTTACAGAGAATTGTTTGAATTGAAGAATTGAAAAAAGGTGTTTTAATAACATTGTACAACTATCAGCACAACCTAAATGAGTTTATGTATAATTTCGATCCTGTGTGGATTAGAGAAAATTCAAAATACATTCAAACTTGCACCCAGTTCTTGCTTTTTAAAGTCCTGTAAGTTGGCTTAATTCCCCCCTGGAAAAACAACAGTTAAAGAAATCATTAGAACTCCAACATCACAGTTACGTTCATGGCCATGACGAGTGCATGTAAACTTCTGACCACAACTGCACTTAAAATATCAAATCTCAAAGCGTGGTCATTTTCAGGATATTTAACTCTATTTTCATCCCATCTTCCGCTTCATTCTCTACACTCATTGCATGATTGTCATATACTGCTGTGTGTGTTGTCTTGTTATTTTCCAATTGTTCTGCTCTGTCTTCTTGGTCGTCGGATGCAGCTTGGCAGCATTTGCAGCAGCAACAGCATTTTGCGATTAAAACCCCAACTGCTTTGTCGCAGGGAGCCAGGGAGTGTGCCCATAGTGGGAGGAAGTCCCAGGATCGCAGGACTGCAGGCAGCCACCCAGGTTTCCGCTTTTGTAGTATGTTGATCACAATGATTATGATCAACATGATGAGTAGAGGAACACCCACGCCCACCAGTACCTTCCAGCCAGCCAGCGACAGGGCGAAAATGAGAAGCGGTAAAACGAAGAAGCAGCAGATGATGTAGACTACAGCAAACCAGCGGTACTTGCCCGTGATGTTGCCCAGACCTTTAGCCAACCGGATAGGGACGCGGGTAAATGGAATGGGATACCACAGAATGATGCCAGAGATGTTGAACAGGAAGTGCACAAGGGCAATCTGAATTGTTAACAAACAACAAGCATCAGTGTAAGTGCAAAGAGGTAGCTTGCTACAAATTCAGAGTAAAAAATGTAATCTTTTACAGGTTGATAATTTCCTGATAAGTTTCTTTTTTATTGAAAATAAATGATTTGGCACGAGATGTCAGAGCCACAAAGATACTGGTCACTTTATTAGGTACACCTTGCTTGGACTTCAATTCTTCCTGACATGGATTCAACAAGATTCAGAGATTTTGGTCTATATTGACAAAAGCATCGTACAACCTCTGCAGATAGGTCAGCTCCACATCCATGATATGAATTTCTCATTCTGCCACATCCTAAAGGTGCTCTATTTGATTGATATCGGGTAACTGCGGAGGCTGGGATGAGTACAGTGAACTCATTGTCACGTTCAAGAAACCAGTTTGACATAGTTTGAGCTTTATGACATGGTGTGTTATCCTGCTGGATGCAGCCAGCAGAAGATGCTCAGTTGGTACTAGGGGGTCAAAATGTGCCAAATATCTCCCACCCCATTTCAACACTACGACCAGCCTTACTCTTTGATGCAAAGCACAATGGAGCCATGTATGTTGTTTACAGCTAATTCTGTCCCAACCATCTGAATGTCGCAGAACCTGTGTGAACTGTAATCTCAGTTTCCTGTTCTTAGCGGACAGGAGGGGCATCTGGTGTGGTCCTCTGCTGCTGTAGCCAATCTGCTTCAAGGTTCGATGTGGTGTGCATTGAGAGTCGTTAATTGGTGGTTATTTAAATTGTACCTATCAGCTTGAAGCAGTATGGCTATTCTCCTCTGACCTATTTTTTATGTAGTTGTTGGGAAAATCCCAGTAGTTTCTCAAATATTCAGACCAGCTCATCTGGCACCAACAAGTCGAGATTACTGAAATCACCCATAATTGAAATGAGCTCATTTTGTTAATCAATTATAAGATTTCTCAGTTTTAACATTTGTTATCTTATCTATGCTTGGAGTTGTGAATAAAATACTGGCTCATGTGATTTGAAAGTCTTTTAGTTTTCATTTTGTTCAAATTTAAAGAACGGCCTTTTCTGGATAGTATTAACAAGTAGTTGATAAGGTGTACCTAATGAAGTGTCCAGTAAGTTTATATTTCCAACAGCTGTTTCCACAACGATTTGTCCCAAATTTTCATGTAGGCACCCAATTTCTCCCTCAAACCACAAATTTAAAGTTCAGCTAAATGTCACAGTTGAATAAAAATTAAATTAGTCGGATAAAATATTATTATTAGGGTAAAATTAGTCATTTGGACTTTTGCAGACCTTAATATGTAGGTAACCATAGGAAATATGTTAAATAGCAAATATGACATAATTTCTCATGAGAAGATGTACCTGCAATGATATTTAAATTATTATAAATTAAGAAAAAGATTTTTTAGTACAGTATAAAACCTTAGAAAGGCTTGTAGTGGTTCTAAATACAATTACTGATACATTTAATGTTAACCAGGAGGGGAGAGTGTTTTTGTGGGAATGACTGACCTGTAGAGCGTCAGCCAGAGTTTCTCCGGGACTAGCCATGGCTGCCAGAATGGCTGTGGTGGTTGTGCCGATATTTGAACCAAGACACAGTGGGTACGCTCTCTCTATACTGATGACACCAATGCCTATTGAATTAAAAACGACATGGTTGGAATACATATTTTCCCCATGTGTCTGACGACCATCACTATCTGCTTCACCATGGTATTACAGTTATTAGATTTAGGTCCTGGTCATTATGGATAAACAAAAATATCAAGAAAAGAACAATAATTTCACTCCTTTCAGACAGATTCTGTCCTTTACTGCCTAAAAAGTCACATAAAGAAGACAAACAAGATATAGAAATCTTTAGAAAAAAATATTCAGAAGGAAACAAATATTCTCAATCATGCATCAATGCTGTTTTTAATGATAAATACATGGAGGTGATAGAAGTAATGGATGAATGCATAATTAACCTCACCAACTAGTGGCGTAATGGCAGAAGTGAACACTGAGCTGCTCTGCACGATGAAGGTCATTCCAGCACCGACTAAAATGGCGATGTAGCCCGTGACCCAACCGAAGGGAAATGGGAAATCTGTGCAGATACAAGAACATTCATGTATTATTCTACACATCACATCCAGTTTTTTTTTACAGAATTTATAGAGTGCAGTGATGCTCACTGGTGTTGAGGACTTTCTTGATGACAACAGCCACCTGTCCCTTCAGCATAGAGTTGAGCAGCTTGACTATGAGGATCAGGCAGGAGCAGAGCACGAGCAGAGAGAGAGCCAGCAGAATCAGACCCACCGCCATATCAGACAGATTCACATCCACAAAGAGGTGTGTACCTGGCAACACACAGAAACACGCACATAATTACAAGAAAGAAATACACAATGTGGACAAAACTACCGGCCTACATGTCTTAACATGTCTTTGAATTCAAGTGTTTCATTCAGCCTCATTGCCACAGGAGTGTAAAAATGTTTATAGGTCTACCATTATAAACATTTGTAAAAGAATGGGCCCACTGAATTTGAGTAAGGTACTGCAATGCAATGCAACAAGTCAGTTTGTAACATTTTTTTTCCCACGATCAAGTCGAAGTAGTTTTGTTGCAAAGTGGAAGCATTCAGGAAACACAGCAACTCAGCCTTAAAGAGGTAGACCTGATAAACTGAGTGCTGAGGAGCGTGGTGCATAAAAGTCACCGGTGCTCTACTGATGCAATAACTGAACAGCTCATTACCTCTGGCATTAACATCAGCACAAAAACTGTGTGCTGGAAGCTTCATGGCATGAGTCTCCAAGCTGAAGCAGCTCCTGTAGGTATAATGTGTAGGTGTCCCACTACTTTTGTTCATATAATGTTGTAGTAACTTTTGTATGCAATTTACTGATAGACTCACAGTGCTATTAGTAAATTGCACTATTATTATGATGACATCTGATGTATATCTAATGTATATATATGTATATGAGATGCTTAATCTGGGCAGACTACTGTCCCACAAGGACAATGAAAAGTACACAGTTCAATCCAAATGTCTCTACAAGGAGACTGTCTATCATATTGTGATGGAAACATTATTCCTTTATTTACATAATTAAATTAAAGTAAATAGTGGTCTTACATTTCTTTATATTGTATGTCTGAGAAACGTTCTTTAGCGTGAAGGTATAATTGCCATCAACCCAGCACAGAGAAGGAGAGGTACAGTTCTCTGGACCAGGAACTGTGACATTCATTAAGGTCTGAAACAGGGTGGAAAACATATATTCAGCATTTAATTCTTAGTTCTTTGGAGTATATTTGGATATATTTGACATGCTTTGGTCTTACTGTGTTGGTGAAGGTTTGGCACCATCTCTTTATGAGGCTCTTGTTTTTAGCTTCTGGATCGTCGGTGGCAATCCCACTAATCACAGATGCATCCAGCTGAGTCAGAAGGAAAAAGGGAGGAGGAAATAAACTGTGAACTATAAACCATGAGAGATAACAGTCTTATATATGAGCATCTTATCTGTCTGATAATGTTAAGAGTGTGAAAAAAAGCAATAGACTACAGACATTCATGTCAGCATTCATCTTTCAGGAAATGAATCGTGCTGCTTAATACTTTGTGTTCTCAATGTCATTTTAGATAGAGGTGAAATTCTGCTGTTATATATAGATGTTATGCATGGCCACTCTTACTGTATCATCCAGGCCTGTCAAGCATGTTTTTTCACCAGATTGATGACCAAAAAATGAATAAGGCAGCTGCATGTTTGTTTGTTATTTGGAAAAATAAGATAATAATGACGTCTTACCTCTATGATTGATTCAGTGAGGGGGTCAGTGATCACATTTAACAGATCTGGGGCCTCTCCACTCTGGATTTCGAATGAATCAGTGATGAGCTTGGTGACCACAAACAAGTAACCACTGGCTACCTCCAGAGGCAGCAGCACCAACACTGAGAGCCAGTTAAAGAAGTCGTGCACTGTGGCCCCTGCGAAAGCTCTAAGTGCATAATGAAACACAAAAGCAAGACAACAATGACCTTTGATCTTTTTGATGAAAGCGTGATATCACTGCTTTCCAGGTAAAGAATTCTAGGAAATGTGTACCATTTATCTTTTCTCTGAACCTGAGATTCATAAAATAAAAATTAATTAACTATTTTGTTTGTTGATTTTTTCTTTTTTTTATTAAATATTACATGGTTAATTTTGTATTTATTTTATTTCCCGGAGGCCTAAGAATCTCAGGTTGAAAAGAAGGCTGTTTGTCAGTTACATAGTAGCAGGTTATTGGAGTTCAAAGAGCTTCAGAGGTAAGATAATAATACAGATAATAAGACAGTAATATAAAAGACCGATTAATATTCATTTACAGCTAAGTAAACAAGTCAAGAAAAGAACAAAACATCATAAAATGAAATAAAATTCACAGGATTAGTTATCTAAAATTGAATGCAGATAACAGTATCCATAAAAATACAATAAAGTAATTCTGGCGGAAACATGTTTAACTTCACAGTAAGTTCATCACACTTTTAATTTATCTATGTTCATCTTTTTAGGACAGATCATCACATCTTGCAAAAGTTTTGCGAGATTTCGCAAAACAAACTCGGGATCTCGCAAAAGTTTTGCGAGATCCCGCAAAACACCGGACGCCGGCTCGAAGCCGACGGGGAGGTCGAGGCACGATGTGCCGGGAAAGCGGTGTTCCTCCTGTAGTGGGTCTTAGCTTCAAGCTAACGGGAAGAATGCGGCTAAAACTTTTGCGAGATCTCGCAAAACTTTTGCGAGATCCCGAGATAGTTTTGCGAGATCTCGCAAAAGTCCGTCTTAATTTTTTTTTTCTCCCATGTCCCCTGCGGGGCTCCGTAAAAAATAAACAAAACCGCTCAATTACTTTTAGAAATATTAGGAGCATTGATCTATCAGCTCTTTCCCATGGCATTAACAACTTACCTACCATTGATGCCTCAGCTTCCATAGACTATAACACTATAACAATGAACTTATCAACCTCTTAGATACCTTGGCTCCCCAAAAAACTCGAACTGTTTCTTTCTGATACTCATCTGAACTTCGCCAACTTAAAGCTACTGGACGCTGCCTGGAACGTCTATCCAGGAAAACAGGATTTACTATTCACAAAGACATGTATCTCAGTCATATACAACACTATAAAGAAGCTATTCATCATGCTAAATCTGCTTACTACACCTCTGTTATTGAATCCGCTGAAGGAAACACTCGCACTTTGTTTTCTACATTGCATAATATTGTTAAACCCCAGATACCTTTGCCATACATACACACTCTTTTTGCAACAAATTTATGGACTTTTTTTACACCAAGATTGAGACTATTCATCAGCAATTGCCCTCGTCCTGTGAAATGGTCAATTGTTCTATCTGCATTTTTTGTCCTTCTCAGCTGTCATCCTCTCTATCCAATTTTGAACTTCCCACAATAACTCAGCTATCTTCCATAATTACTAACTTAAAGTCATCATCATGTAAACTTGATCCACTGCCAACAAATCTTGTTAAACTCTCATTCCCGTCTCTTGCCCCACTGATTGCTAATATCGCACACTCCTCTCTTATATCTGGTTCTGTTCCTTCTTCTCTTAAAACTGCAATAATAACTCCAATACTGAAAAAGAATGGTTCAGATCCCTCCAATCTAAAAAATTGCAGGCCAAGTTCAAATCTCCCTTTCCTAGCAAAAATTCTTGAAAAGATAGTGGCTGCACAGGTTCATCGTCATCTCATTGGAAATAACTTGTATGAACAGTTTCAGTCCGGCTTCCGTTCATGTCACAGTACAGAAACAGCCCTAGTAAAAATCACCAATGATCTTTTGCTTGTAGCTGATTCTGGACTTACTGTATATCCATTCTCATTCTCCTTGACCTTACAGCAGCTTTTGTCCCACCGCATCCTCCTTCACAGATTAGCATCTATTGGCATCAATGGTACAGTACTCACCTGGTTTACTTCTTATCTCTCTGGCCGCTCACAGTTTGTTCAATTACAGTTCAGTATCTACTCCAGTTAATTCCGGTGTACCCCAAGGCTCTGTCCTGGGTCCTTTACTTTTTTATCATCTATCTCCTACCCCTAGGTAATATTTTTAGGAAGCATAACATCCAGTTTCACTGCTACGCAGATGACACCCAGCTCTACCTATCCTCCAAAC